GGCGGAAGACCTGCGGGGGGCGCCCGCCGCGGCGGGCGGGGGGGCGCGGCAGGGGGCCGCTGGTGACGTCAGCAGAGGCGCCGACGGCGGGGTGACCTTTGAAGAGGTGCGGCGTGTCTGCAGTTGAGGACCTGGGCGGTCGGTGGGATAACCGTTGCTGTGTTGGCGGCGCCCTGTTTCCGTCCTCCCCGGCTACAGGCTGCAACCACGCCTAAATAGTATGGATTCATCTCCACTGTCGGGGTCTCCTCCCCTGGCGTAACTCCCTTTCATGACCCCGGAACACGATGCACGTCGTCCACGCGCCAACCCGCTTCGCCTTGACACGCACGCGCGTGCTGCTCGCCCCCCCCCCACCCGGACCACTTGCCGCAGTTTGTCTCGCTGGTTGCGCCACCCTGCGACGGCGGCGGGCCCCATGGCGCCCAGCCCGCTGTCAGCTGCAGCGGAAGCAGCGGCGGCGGCGGCGGAAGCAGCGGCGGCGGCGGCGGCCGCCGCTGCAGCGACGCGAGCAGCGGCAGCACGCTTGCTGCTAGCAGTGGCGGTTGTGGCAACAACACGCATTGCGGCGGCGACAGCGGCAGCAGCAGTAGCAGCAGCGAGCGCGCCCTTCAAACCACCAGAACTCCCGAAGCGGCCGGTTGTGGGCTGCTCACCACCCCCAAGAGCCTGCGGCCCATACGCACCTGCTGCCCCGCAACCACGTGACGTAATGTGCGTGCCGCTCAGCCCTTCGCCGCACGCACAAGGGCGGGCACCATGGCGCACGGCGCAGCTTTTTCAGGCGTCTCTGCATCTGCACGCCGAGCCTTGGCAGGTGTTGCTGCGTGCTGCCGTGGTGGCTGATGGCCACAGCTTTTTGCGCCGTGCGCCGCCGCCATGTCAGTCTGCAAGGCACACACAATCAAGAGTGCCCCTTCTGTATAGTGGGAAGTCCCAGACACCATAGCAAAGTTGCCACCGGCGGTAAGATTTCACAAGACACACTCACTTCACGCGCCACCCGTACGCTGGTCATTGCAGCGCAACGCTTTTGCATCACAGTTTGCAGCGTGCGTGCCGCGAAGGCAGGGCGCCATCAGTCATCCTGCTTTGTCATCTACAGACTCTTGCACTGTTGCTCACAGCCTGCATCCCTGATTGCACAAATGTGCTCATGCATGTTGAATTAAGCGCTGCCATACCGCTCTGTTCACTAACACTTATGTCTCATCAAGTACAAAGCAGGCAGCTTGCTTGCCAGTGTGAGCCTGGATGTCCAGTGTGGTGCGTGTTGCATCACTCCATTTTATGCAGGCATATGCACAGGAGCATGTACGGAAGGTCTCCACCCTCACATGGTAGTAATCTTCAGGGGTTTGTCGTTGATGTCCACCGCTGGTGCAGCAACATCCAGCCTGTCAAGGCTGTGCGCGTGCGTCGTCGTAACGCAAAGGCAGCGGTACGTCCTGACGCGGCAGCAGCGGCGACGCAGGGGCAGCGGTGGGGCAGACGAACCCCAGCCCCTCCCTGCCCAGCGGGCCCGGCGCCCGGCGCCGGCGCCGCACGCACCTCCGCGAGGCAGACGCTGCTCAGGAGGCGCCGAGCCAGGCCCTTCGATGGGCTTGATAACCCAAGCCTTTCCCGCGCACCCCCCCGCACAGCCCCACCGGCAGCGGCTCGGGCGGCAATCATGGCCCCCAGCTAAGATGTCTTGAGGTGCGAGAGGTCCGGGCTCGGCAGGGGTGAGGGCCGAGCTAGCCTGCCAGGCTTGCTGTCTGCATATCCGCTTCTCTCCCACAAAAATTGGGAGCAGAGTTACAGGCGGGTTAGGCGGCGGCGCAGCGCCCGACGAGCGGGGCGGTGCCGCCTGCGGTGGTTTGTAAGCTGCATAGCTAGTGATGGGGTGGTGGCGCGGACGCAAAGTGCCCGACCGGCGGCACCGCTGGCCGGCGGACAGGGGGGAGCGCGGCGGAGGCGAGGTGTTGCTGCTTGGCACGGCGAAAGGGCGCGCGCCGGCGCGCGTCGCGGCGGCCCACGGGGGACAGATGGATGGAGCTGGGGGGAAAGGCGCAACGGGAGGCGGGGCGAGGAGGCTAGGGAGGGGCCGCTCGAATGCCAGCAAGGGCCGGGTCATCATCTAAAGCATATATAATTGACACTGGAAGAAAGGAACACGGAAAAGAAAGGTCCACAAAATGCACACAGTCAAGGTCAAGGGGGGTCGCCAGTGCGTTGTTCCGCTCTCTTCTCGCGACCACCATTCAGCCGCGCGCACGCCCCGCACAAGAGGGTCGAGTACGGCTGGGGCGGGTGCGTCGTGGCCGGCCAGCCGGCTTGTGTCGCGCGTTCCATTCGAGGAAGGGTGGGCACTGGTGGCGCTGATGCTGGTCTAGAGGCCGGGCTGCGCGGAGCTGCTGCAGCGGAAAGAGGGGTTTGGGGGCGGCGCCTGCGCGGCGAGGCCCGAGTCTGGTCGTTGGGGGTCGGGGGGCGGCGGCCCGCGGCCCGCGGCCCGCGCGCGGCTGCCGGCCGCCGCAGGAGGCAACGGGGCCGCAACAGAGGCAAAGGCCCGCCGGCGGGCCGCGGGCGCCGCGGCGCGGTGGCAGCGCTCGTCGGATCACGTCGTTGGCGTTTCTGGGGCCGCCTTCCCCGGGCGACGCGCTAAGGGCGGCGCAGTCGGGCCCGCAAGGACGTGGCGGCCGCTAGTCACGGCTCTTCCCTGCTGAGACAGGTGAAAGAGGAGGGGAGGGGCCGGCAAGGCGCGCACGCGCGGGGTGTCACGCGAGGCGTGGTGTGGGCGTGCGGCGCCGCCCGGCCAGGCTGGGGCGCGCCGACGGCGGCGCGCGGTCGAAAAAGCCAAGGGCCGCACAGCGGGGCTGCAAGCCTGGGCGCCCCTGGAAGATGGTGTCATTTTCGTGCTCCTTCGCAGCTAGGGCAAGCGCCCCGCCCTGGCCCCGGTTTTGCAGCCGTCCTGCCGGTCCCTGGCTGCCCTCGCAGCCCCGCCCATCAACTTACCCATTACCTTTCACCCTCGAGAGCTCCAAGCCCCCCTCCCC